GGAGTATTGAAGACCAAATATTATTGTAGGACTGTCTAAATAGTTTTTCCTTAAAAAATTAGTTGTTTGTTTTCTTATTAAGAAGTTTTAAGAACTTTTCTCTTTTTTTGTAGAAAACAACTGGAAATTTATGGTAATGTGCTGTTATCTTTCCTGGGGTTAGTGCCTGAGAAATACCCCTTGAAAACTTCCCATCTCCTGATCAGTGGGGTCAGCAACCCTCAGGGGCTGAACTGGTGGTGGGTACCAGAGGAGACTCTTAACAGAGTCTACATACCAGCACTTTATTAGATATGTGATTTTAATATAGTTTTCCCAGCCCATGGCTTGTTTATGTACTGTCTTATCATTATTTTTTTGAGAACCAAAACTTATAATTTTAATGAAGTTCAATTTATCCATTTGTCTTTTATGGACTGTGCTTTAGGTTTAGTTTCTAAGGAATCTGCCTAAATCCTGGTCACAGAGATTGTATCTTATTTTGTACTTTTAGAAGTCTTAAAACTTGTAGTTTTACATTTAAGTCTATTATCCACTTTCATTTAATTTTTACATATGGTCTAAGGTGTAAAGTCCATTTTATCATATGAATAGCCAAGTGTTCCTGCAATATTTGTTGAAAAGGCTATACTTTTTTCACAGAATTTTCTTTTCCCCTTATTAGAATCAAATGGCCATCAATATACAGATCTGTTTCTGCATCCTCTATTCTGTTTCACAGATATTTGCCTACATTTCTGTCACTTAAACTTTTCTCTCATATATTTTGTCTCTTAGATCTATGTTCTAGAAGACTGTCTTCAGCCAAATTGCTCCTATAATTGGTGTATGTATACAGCATGTTAACTTTGATAATATCATTATTAATTTAAAAATCTTTCGTTAGAATTTTTATGACCTGAATATTTAAATTACATTATGAATACAAATTTGAAATTTTAAATGTTGTTTCTATTCTTTTGAGTACTGTAAGGTCACTTGTCCTATTTCAGCCTCCTTTTTCACACTGTGGTTATACTCAATGCCAAGTGACATATGGGTATGAATTAACATATATGAATTAAGGACTATGGAATAAATTTCTCGTGTTTATATTTTAGATTTCCATTGTATTTCTCTGTTCTTTTTAATTTAATTCTATTTGCTATTTTTTTTCTCCTGGAAGTTCCTTTTATATAAAATTTGTTAATGATATTGTCTTGTTTTCCTATATTGTTATGTACTTATCCTTTTAAAAAATGAAAAGGGAAGAAAAGAAGGAAGAGAAAAAGAATCTTTATTTTATTTTAAGAAATTTGTCATAATGAAAAATTCTGTACTCTATATTATTTTAATCCAAAATCCCCGGTCTGAACTGTGATTCCGTCTGTATACATGCGTTTCTATACTGCCTCCACTTCTTTTGGACCAGAAAGGAGATTGTTGCTGAAAGGTTGGAATTCTTCTTGGAGTTGATAGTTCATTATAGTTTTAGGTTTCCTGGCTCTGAGTAGCCCACATGGTATTTGACATTCCCCAGTGGTTGGTTGGTTAATTTTGTGAAAATTGAGTTGCCATCTTTAGGGAAATATTTCTGACATTCATTAATTTTTAACTGCAGAGATCTTACATTTCCAAAAACTTTGAGTTTTCTTCAGGTAGATACCTGGTTGTCACTACATATTTCTGAGGCTTTTTCATTATGAAAAATTTCAAATATACTAAAAATAGACAGAATAGTATAATGAAAGTGTCACCAACTCATAGTTTCATGAATTACCGATTCATGACCAAGCTAATTTTATCTGCATCCCCACTCACTTTATTTTGAAGAAAATCCCAGGTATCGTATCATTTTGCTATGACTTATTTTTACTTACAAAGTGATAATTAAATTTTTCATAAAATTTCTACCACAATAGAGTTTTTATTGGCGAACAAAACTGAAGTCAAAGTGATACCAAATGATGATTAAAATAGAAGTATAATTCAAGAATGTTGCCATCTAATCATTCAACAGATTTGTCAAGGTAGTGAGTGGTCTCATTAGCTGAGATATTTCCCTTCTGTTCTCTGTGCAATGACAGGGAAAGCTTTCCAGGATATCTTAAAAGGAAGAAATAAGGTGCAGTACAGCATAAGAAAATCACAGGTAAATGAGCATTTCGACACCTGCTTACATACACAAAAAACAACACTGAAAGGATGTACAGTGAAATAATGAAAATTATTAATTAGGGAAGGAATATGGGGTGGATGGGGAGGGGCAGGGCTAGGACTTTTTAAATATATACATTGTTATATTTTTATATTTGAGTTATGTGGGTATGTTTTATATTTTTTAAAATAAAATCTTTTTTCTAAAATGCTCTATTTCATGCAAAAACTAGGATATTCCTATGATCAAGTCAGTTTAAAAGTATTGTAAGATAAATGCCAAAACCAGTGTCAATTGGACAAATAGCTATGTAATTTTTAAAAATTCCCTGACTTTGATCTCTTTTCTTTCTGCTGTAGCCTTAAGCCTCATAGTTCAGTTAAATTTTGAAAGCATGTATGGTTTCAGTGTGCTTTACTAGCTCTCAGACTTCATGGGTCTCTCTTACTTAGACCTCATCTTCCTGCATCTCAGCGAATGAAAGCCTCAGATCCTAGTTGTAGTTTTGTTCAGTCAGCCCAGTCAGTTCTACTCATGTTTGCTCCTGCTCTTCCCTCGCAGTCTAAAGTGATGACACTTCTCCTGCCTCATTCATGCTTCCAGTTAGGTATTTTCTTTCCTCTAAAAAGGAATGTGTCCAGAAGAATGGGATTCAGCCAAAATGAGCCTCAGGGGGACCTCTGTACAATTGACCCTCCATATCCGTGGGTTCCGTATCCAGGGATTCAACCAACCATGGATTAAAAATAATCGGGAAAAAATATTCCAGGAAGTTTCAGAAAGCAAAACTTGAACTTGCTGCAACAGCAACCATTTATATTGCATTTACATAGTGTTAGATATTGTAAGCAATCTAGAGATGATTTAAAGGACCGTTGACCCTTGAACAACACGGGTTTGAACTGCATGGGTCCACTCATGCTGGATTTTTTCAATAAATATAGTACCTGTATTTTCATTTTACATATCTTTAAATTTATTAGGTGTGGGGAAAAGTTTGTGTTCTCTTAGAGATCACAATATGTAGAATCAAAATGAATCAAAAGATTGAGTCCTGATTCTAACCAAACTGTTTTACCTTCTAACGAAACTGTTTTATCCTCCTCCCTTCAGTGAGTCAATTATCATTTCTTTTGTTTTTGAGGCAGAAGTTTTCAACTGCTTGGGGTTGGTGCCCCTAAACTCCCCCTCCTACCCCCCACCCCACCCCCTCCTGCCCCCACCACCTCATGATTCAAATGTCAACTGTATATGGAAGCTGTGTGTAACTTATATTCAAATATTACAACATTCAGGAAAGGGGAGGAGTCGGGCATGGGGACATAGCTCAGGGGTCGAGGGTGTGCTTAGCATGCTGGAGGTCCTACGTTCAATAGGTAGTACCTCTGTTAAAAAAAATAAAGTGAATATTTGGAATATTTGGGGGTGTTCCTTTAAAAAAATCAAGCACTTTACCATTCTATACAAGGGACTCGAACATCCACAGATTTTGTATCCCTGGGAGTCTTGGAACTAGTCCACCACTGATTCCAAGGGACAACTGTATTCTTCCTCTCAGCTCAGACTTAACTGGTGTTCATCTCACAAGACCAGCTACTACTCAAGTATGGAGTTCAGGGCAGTGTAGTTCACATCTCATTTATTGAGCACCTAATGTGTGCCAGGCACTATATTTGGTGTTTAATATTATATCGAAATATAATTCCTGCTTTAGAAGTTCAGAGTCTAGCATGAGACACAGATGAGAAAGCAGAGTTCCAATTAAGTATTGAGACCGAGCGCAGCAGAAACTTCCATGGTTCAGGCTGGAGAGTGAGTGGGGGATGGGGTCTAGAGGAACGGGTAGGGAGAACTGGTGTGTGCCAGAGTAAACTGAGTCTTGGAACACGAACAGGAGTTGGTCAGGTCATTACTTAGGGGCATAAAGTGGACACAAATAGAAAAATGTGAACAATGATCCACAATTCTAAATAGAGTTTGAGTATGTGGTACCTCATATGCTATCACTCAAAGATAATGTCCAAGGCTGGGAGAAGCAGTAGAAGCTACAGATGACTCAGGGAATCCTTCCCGATCTTATCCCACCCTTGGGGCTACTAACACTTCTCAACCCAGGAGCCAGGAGAGGGATTCCCAGCAACAGTTTAAGTCTTCAGGGAGAAGACACAATGTCCTTGTTACTTGGGATATAAACATTTCCCCTGAGTGCCATGCAGAAGAAAGGTGGATCACGGCTAGTGCCTTCCAGAGCTGATCGAACACCATGCTTTCTCTCATTCCCACTAATTTGCCCGAGGACTTTTGCAGCTGCCTGCTTGGGGTGGGTGACAGGTGAAGACAGAAGCATTCCCACTCATCCCTTGTTGAATAAAGGGTCAGCCTCCTTTTCAGATTTATCAGGCATGGAGTCTGGGAAATTTCTGTTGAATTGCAAATCTCCCTTGGGTCTTTGAAGAATTATTTTCTCTCTTTCTTATGGTTTTATCTCCTCACCATTTGGGTCTCTTTTCTCCAGCAGGCACTGCTGCTAGCTGGGTTCCTAATGTCTGGTTCGGTAAATCCTCATTTGGGGACATTTCTATTGGAAACTAAAGTTGTATGAAGGATCCTACTCATTAATAGAAGGATTGGTTAGAAACCAATGACTTCTTCAGCCTACTCCTTCCCTGCACTCACACCAGTGCCAGAAGCCAGGAAGGAGGAGGAGGTCTAAGACAGGAAAGCTGATAGTTTGTGCATAATACTCACTAGCGAGAAAGCGAAGACCTGGCTTTAAATGGAAGCTCTTTCAACCATTAGAGACAAAAAGGAACTATAGGTAAGTGCATCAAGCCTTCTCATAGATAGAAGAATGGTTTAACCCCTTTATACTCACCCTTGCCTTCCAGCCTCATGTTATTCTTTTAGTGACATATCTTGGAGCATAGTGAGATCATTATACTTTGCTTGAAGTGTGTCTGTTTTAGCTTAAAGCAGTGATCAGATTGCAGAAGAAACTCTACAGGGAGGGGAGGGTGGGTCCTGATGGCTGACCTGTCCGTGGCCACAAGAAGGGGCAATGTGATGCAGCCTCCTTAGGATCAGAAAGCCCCTTTGTTTACAAGGCAGAAGAACAGCTTCTGAAGAATTATACCCGGGAGGAAAGCACAAGAGAAGAAGCAGGTTACCTGCTTACTGCCTGTTCTCCCAAGTGCTTTGCCCATCCTCAGAACTCCAAGGGTGCCAGGCTATTGTCAGCCTCACAGTACAAGGCATGGGAAGGTCTCCAGGATGGAGTAGGACATTTCAGTCATAAACAGGGAAAGAGAATTCTTTCAGGGTGGTCCCCACCCTCATCGAGACATCAAGGACATTCAGGTGTCGGTGCGAAGAATTTTTTCTATATTTTGGCTTGGCACTCATCTTCTTCTCACTTAGGTATAGTTAGGTTCAGTTCAACGCAGTTACTTCCAGAGAGGAACAGAGAGCCAGAAAGAGTCCTCTTTGAGGTGACCAGTCCTATCTCATTCCACTCTGCCCCTTATTTTCTGTGTTACAGCCCAAATGTACTATGTTTACATGTTGCTCTTTTCCATTAAAACCCCTCTTTTCTCTCCTATCAAATCCATATTTATTTTTAAGTATTTTTAGGCATCACCTTCCTCCAGAATACTTCCTGTAGCTCTAAGTCTCAGTTTGGTCCCTTTCTACGTGCCCAGTTAGTACGCTATGCTTACCTGTGACATTCCACCTGTGACATGTCAACTTCTGTCATTCTCGTTAGGCAGTGAGCTAATGAGGGTAGTGACTGTCTCCTTTATATATGAATTACCAAATATATACCTGATACATAATCAACACAAAGCAAATTACAAATGGTTTTACTGGCAATAAGGCAATTTCTGTAGAAGCTGGAGGGAGACGAGGCTCAGAATGGAATTCCTAGGGAGAAAGACTACAGAATTGATTTACCCTAAACAAAAGGTACAGAAGTTTTCCTACTTAGGTGGGATCCAAAGATGAGAAATTGTAAGTGAAGAGTCTAAGCTTTGCCAGGAACGAAGACTGCTATGTGTGCTAGAGAACAGAAGAGAATCAAGGATTTAAGATCATTTCTCATGCTTTGCATGGTTAAAGGGGATCAGTTTTCTCCTAATAACTGAGGCTTTTTTAAAAAAATCAAAGTTTCAGAACATCATTCATTTGGTTCTTATAACTGGTGATAGTCTTCTGAATTGGAATGAGTTGAATCAAATCGTAAGGACTTCATTTCTGTTCATTAGTGAGAACCAGGAATTCATAATTCTGTCTCTGGCAAGTTGTCTAATAGAGCCCAAGTTTGTGGAAAAGCCTTGGCTTGGTATCATGGACTGAAAATGCTTGGGAAATTCATTTAATGTTCCCTAGAATATTCAGCTTGAAGTTGACACTAAATAAATAGATGCGGATAACTGACTGAATCAGTATGGTTTACCCTTATTTTTCCTTTTAAATATGGCATAACTTGCTTTAGAAGGTAAGTCCTTTGTGACAAGCTGAGTTCAGTTAGACCCTTAGGTTTCAGAGGAAATTCTCCATGAAAATGGCAATTTCATATAGTAGAAACAGCTCATTCTACAGCTGGGCAGATGAAGAACAAGCAAAGCTGCATTAACTGTTAGTCTTCCAAGCGAAGTGGTGAGCCAAACTGAGAGTTTACTGCCCTTACAGTCTCTACCATGTCACTTGTCAGCTAAGTGCTGGAAAGTCTTTGGACTATTACTTCATTTGCTCCTTACAGCATTTTACAGTTGAGGAGCACAGAGAGGTTAAGTAACTTTTCCAAGGCTACTCCGCTAGTAAGTGTAGATGCTAGGCAGTAGGGGTGGGAGGAGGGTATAACTCAGTGGTAGAGTGCATACCTAGTATGCAGAAGGTCCTGGACTCAATCCCCAGCTCCTTCATTAAAAATAAATAAATGTCCACCAACAGATGCCTGGATAAAGAAGTTGTGGTATATGTGTACAATGGAATACTACTCATCTATTAAAAAGAATAAAGTAATGCCATTTGCAGCAACATGGATGGACCTGGAGACTGTTATTCTAAGAGAAGTAAACCAGAAAGAGAAAGAAAAATACCACATGGTAGCACTTATATGTGGAATCTAAAAAAAAAGACAAACGAACTTATTTACAAAGCAGAAACAGACGCACAGATATAAAAAACAAATTTATGGTTACCAGTGGGGAAAGGGGGTGGAGAGGGCTAAATTGGGAATTAGGGATTTGCAGACACTAACTACTATACATAAAATATATAAACAAGTTTCTACTGTGTAGCACAGGGAACTATATTCAGTATCTTGTAGTAACCTCTAATGAAAAAGAATGTGAAAAGGAATATGTGTATGTATGTGGGTGACTGAAACATTATGCTGTACCCCAGAAATTGACACACTGTGAACTGACTGTATTTTAATAATAAATAGATAAATAAAACCTAATCCCCACTCACTGCCAAAAAACAAACAAATAAACAAACAAACAAAGCTAAGCAGTCTGACTCAAGCTCTGATCATGGCTGAATGGGAACCACATTCTTCACAAAATCATTTTCCTGGTATTTTTGTCCAACTCAGCTGCCCAGTGATATTTTATTATAATAATGAGATATCACTATTTAGGATCTGAGAATAGTAGATGAGAAGATGGTGACTCCTGGCATTTTCACAACTAAGTTTTAGCTACCTTTTATAGAAAATCTTCTCCAACTCTAAAAGTCAGTTAGATGAGGACCTCAGGTCCTTCAGATCTTAACAGGATGTGTGACTCGAGAAAGTGGGGATGTGTGTGCCATGTCGTGACAGAAGAAGTTTCAGGATTGTCTGGAGGAGACCTGTCCTCACCAGGACCATGTCCATCTTGTTGCCCAGGTGGGGGA